CAGGCCACAGAATCTCACCCACCCACTCCTGTAATAAATCCCTAACCTATGTCTGAGCTATTGAAGTCCTCAAATCATGGTTGAAAGACTTCAAGGTGCAGAGAATCTTCCAGCAAGTGACCCGTGCCCCATGCTGCAGAGGAAGGCAAAAAAAAACAAAAAACCCCAGGGTCTCTGCCAATCTGCCCTGGAGGAAAATTCCTTCCTGACCCCAAATATGGCGTCTGAGCATGTGGGCAAGACTCATCAACCAGACACCCAGGAAAGAATTCTCTGTAGTAACAAGTGTGCATTTAAGAGCCTAACAGCGGGCACACAAGTTTGAAAATTGGTTCTAATTCTTTCATGGAGTACAATATAACAAAGACTTCCTTAATTTCTGCAGACTTGAAATGCAAAATCTGCAAGAGTAAAAGGAAATATTTTGCAGTATAGGAAGATAAAAGCTTGCAACAATTCAGCATTTCAGTATATTAGTATGCCATGCAATAAGATGGATACCAAAGAGGATAACACATTAGCAGCACCCATAATAGAAATATGGCTAGTATGTGAGGGGAGAAAACTATTAACAAATTAAAATTAGTATGTATTATGCTCACTTACAAATATGTGTATTACTGATTTTTTCTAAATGTTATGGGCCAAATCCTGCCGTCAAACACATGGTGAGAAGTGGGTAGAAACTGTTATTGTCAGTTTTCTTCCCCATGGCCCCATATCATAACATGACATTAATTTTCAATGAGTTTGTTTACATTCATGGTCTCTTTATTTAGATGTGATAAGGGCCATAAATGCACCAGTTAGACTATTGGGAGTGATACATAACTGCTCTGCACCTCATGCAGCCATTTATTCTTGTGCAAAGTAGATCTAAAATGCTACCATTCTCATTTGGCAAGGCTTTACACCCACTTTACACACACCTTGCAAAGATTCAGGGTAGTGGAAAATCAGGCTCCTTGTCTTTTGGCCACTGTTTTATATAGGCTGAAAATATGTTGCCACAAAATATAAGTAAACATCACCAGACAGAGTCAACTGAACAGTATGGTAAATGTCAAGAATAACAGAACAAATAACTTAAATTTTCTTCTTTTTTCCCTCCCAACATTCTACAATCATCTAGGGGGAAGATGATTCCATCAGATTTAGAGGCAAAAATACTCAAAGTCAAGAGACAGGTTTGTTTGTTTGTTTATTATTTGTAGCCTTGTGATATTAATATTGAGCTAAATCCGGCAGTCCTCACTCATGTGAAATTGCCAAGGAAGTTAATAGTAGGAACCACATTTTCAAAAGTATTTAACACCCAGAGCTCCAAATGCAATCTCATTTAAATTAATGGGAGTTTTGGCAAAGTGAGGATTGTAGTATTTGCCTGGATTACATAGAAGACATCTTTTAAGTTACAAAATTGTCTTACAATTAAAAGCAGAGAGTCATAGTATCATGGACATGTAGGGCTGGAAGGAACCTTGAATGGTCTTTAAATCCAGCCCCCTGCACTGAGGTGGACCCAAGTAAACCTAAACTATCCCTGACAGGTGTTTGTCCAACTTGTTCTTAGAAACCTCCAGTGATGGAAATTCCTCAGCCTCTCTTGGAAGCCTATTCCAGTGCTTAACTATCCTTAGAGTTAGAAAGCATTTCCTAATATCTAACCTAAATCTTCCTTGCTTCAGATTAAGCCTATTACTTCTTGTCCTACATCCAGTGGATATGGAGAACAATTGACCCCTGTCTTCTTTGTAACAGCTTTTCACATATTTGAGGATGGCTATCTGGTCCCCCCTCAGTCTTCTTTTCTTAAGGCTGAACATGCGCAGTTTTTTTAACCTTTGTTCATAGGTCAGGTTTTCTAAATCTCTTATCATTTTTGTTGGTCTTCTCTGGACTATCTCTAATTTATCCACCTCTTTCCTAAAGTACAGTGCTCACAGTGGACATGACACTCCAGCTGAGGCCTCGTCAGTACCAAGTAGAACTGGACAATTACCTCCCATGTCTTACATGCAACATTCCTGTTAATAAACTCCAGAATGACATTAGCCTTTTTCCCCAACTGCATCACATTAATTCATTCATATGCAATTTGTGATCCACTATAATCTGCAGATCCTTTTCAACGGTACTACCACCTAGCCAGTTATTCCCCATTTTGCAGTTGTGCATTTGATTTTTTTTCCCCAAGTGTAGTGTTTTGCACTTGTCTTTATTGAATTTCATCTTGTTGATTTCAGATCAATTCTCTGATTTGTCAAGATTATGAATTCTAATCCTGCCCTCCAAAATCCTTGCAACCCTTCCCAACTTGGTGTCATCTTCAAATTTTATAAGGATGCTCTCCACTCCATTATCAAAGTCAATCATGAAAATATTAAATAGTATCTGACCCAGGACTGGCCTCTACGGGAACCCACTAGATACACTCTCCCAGTTTGTCAGTGAATCATTGATAATTACTTTGAGTATGGTCTTTCAATCAGTTGTGCATCTGCATTAGAACAATTTCATCTAGTCCATTTTTCCCTAGTTTGCTTATGAGACTGTCATGTGAGAATGTATCAAAAGACTTACTAAAATCAAGATATAGCACATCTACTGCTTCCCCACCATCCATTAGGCCAGTAATCCTGTCAAAGAAAGAAATTAGGTTGGTTTTGCATGACTTCTTTTGACAAATACAAGCTGGCTATTCCTTACAACCCTGGTATACTCTAGGTGCTTACAAACTGATTGTTTAATAATTTATTTCAGTATGAAAGGTTTCAGAGTAGCAGCCGTGTTAGTCTGTATCCGCAAAAAGAAGAACAGGAGGACTTGTGGCACCTTAGAGACTAACAAATTTATTAGAGCATAAGCTTTCGTGGACTACAGCCCACTTCTTCGGATGCATATCTGTGACGGGTTGGATCACAGAAACCCCCTTGGGAGCTGCCACCCGATGTGCAAAGACTACCCCTGCTCCTGTTTTCCCTGCCAGATCAGGACTCCAGCACCCTGTCTTGCTGAGCCAGACACTCCTGTTTGGCTCCAGACACAGATCCAGGGTCTGAATCACTTTGTTCCAAAGCTGCAAGTTTACCTGAAAACAGCTCACAGTAGAGTGCTTGTCTTTAGCACTCAGATGCCCAACTCCCAATGGGGTCTAAACCCAGATAAATCCGTTTTACCCTGCATAAAGTTTATGCAGGGCAAACTCATAAATTGTTCGCCCTCTATAACACTGATAGAGAG